ATGGATTTCTCCCTGGTCGATCAATAATGACCAACCTTCTCCACTCTCTCAACGATTGGACTCAGTATCTGGACACAAAGACTACTGTTGATATAATCTACTTAGATTTTTCTAGGGCTTTCGATCGGGTTCCACATAGAAGGCTTCTGTTTAAGTTGGAATGTATGAGAATAAGAGGCGAGTTGTTACTGTGGATTAAGGCTTTTCTCACCGGGAGGACTTTCTCTGTGCGCGTCAGTGATAGCCAGTCTCACCTTCATCGTAGCAAGTGGAGTTCCTCAAGGCTCTGTCTTGGGGCCAGTGCTGTTCCTTCTGTATAGAAGTGACCTGCCCGCATTGATTTCCTCCACATGTTCAGCTTATGCCGACGACACCAAGATTTACAATACTGTCGTAAAGTCTGCTATGCTTCAACGAGATCTTGATATTTCTTGTCAATGGTCAGTCAGTTGGCTTTTACCCTTAAATCTGACTAAGTGTTGTGTCCTTCACCTCGGGAAGACAAATCCGCGATTTACATATAAGATCTCTGACCACAACATCGAAGCAGTTTCCAGCCACACTGATCTGGGGGTTGTAGTCAACGATCGTCTTTCTTGGTCAGAGCATATTCACCACGTTACATCAAAAGCCAAGAAACTTCTATACATGCTGGAGAGGTATTTCAAAGGATCCGATCTCAACACTTGCGCCTACATTTACAAGGCATTCGTGAGGCCAATTCTTGAATTCGCTGGCCCGGTATGGGACACTGTGCTTCTGCGCGATAGAAATCTCGTCGAATCAGTACAGCGTCGGGCTACTCGTATCCCTTTTGGAGCACGAAGACCTAGCTATGAAGATCGCCTTGAATTATTCAACCTGACCTCATTCTCTGAGAGAAGACTTCGTGGCGATCTTATAGTTACGTTCAGGATACTTCATGGTTTGATGGGCACCAACCTCATGCATCTATACCGTCTGTCGCGCAGAAATCTACGCGGACACAGCTTCAAACTGCATAAGGAGCCATTTAAAACAACAGTCCGACAGTGGTTTCTTCCCAACCGCATATTCAACACCTGGAATAGTTTACCTGAAAGTGTGGTTGGTGCTACTTCAGTTAATAGCTTCAAAGTGCAGTATGATAGCTGGAGGAGTGTACAAACTTTATAGCTATGAACTGTCTTTTTTTATTTTTTTCTATTTGATGTATTTGTGTTACGTGTCCGTACACTATATTTACTGCATGAGCTTATAGTACTGTGTACTCTGCTCATCTCAATTATCATAATAATAATAATAATAATAATAATAATAATAATAATATATTGTATTCCTATTAAGCGTATCCATTTTGATAGTTTTTAAAATTATGTGTGTTTCGAAAATATTGTAAGTCTTTGGGACGAACCCAAACACGTTTCATATTATTTTTTTAATTCACCACAGATTCAATTTTTCATCAGAATCGTATCCGGGCCAGATGAAACGTACTCTAACCAGATGTTTTTTCTGCGCACGCGCACTGTGATGACGTCGTCTGACTGGTTGTACAGGGCCGAGTAAGTGTGCTTGTACGGGGTGATGCGAATAGTTGTACCGTGGCGAGATGTTGCACTAGGATGTGAAAGAAAACATTATTTTGATCATCAGTCCCAGAAACTTAAAAAGCATGTTCCGAGCGGTCCCTGCACACCTGCTAAGCTAGGACGCTTCGAAGAATCCCGGACGGATGGCAGTCCTAGATTCCCAGACTGTGACTAAAAGCTTTACTGTTTGTACTTGGTGGACAACCTAAAGGTGTATTACCAACGAAGTTTAGGATTGAAGAGTTCAGGCGTGCAGACATTTTATTAATCTGATTTTTGAGAAAAACCCTCTTACAGCAGATTGTTTGTTCGCGATACCCAGGAGCAAAGAGCAATCGTACCGGCTAGTTCTCACTGTATGAGGCAGGTGCCGATATCATATTATCTGCATATTAACTCAATAATAAAGGAAGCGCTACACTTTTCTGAGGATAGACTTACTCAATAAAAATAAGGTGATTCCTCAACGATTCTGCCGATGACTTAGTATACATGTTGGTCGAACATGCTTTATTTAGCGGATTCAGAAACAACGCATTAAGTCGATCATGGATATACAATATACAGGGTGTTTCAGTTTATTGTTGCATAACTTTAAGATTCGATAGAACTTTCAAAATTAATGCATAAAGTCTATATAAATATAGGTCGAAAAATGTGTGGCTTCCGAAATATAGGGTGTTTAAATTTACTTTTTAAAATAGTTTTTTTAAAATATTTCGAACAATATTTGATGTATAACAGTGAAAACTGGTATACGAGGGTTTTTTGGTACGACAAAACGAACCATGGGCATAGTTTTACTGTAGCCGCTAGAGGGCGCTCTCTACCGTACCTGTAGTGTATTAAAATGACCTAAAAATTTTTCTTAGTGCAATTTTTTGCTTTTTGAATAAAAAAACTGATTCTTCGCACTTTTCTGCATAAAAAAGCTTTCCTGTGAGTTTTCGTTATAGTTAGCCGTTTTTGAGATATTTCGATTTTTAAGGTTCGATGCATTTTTAATTATTTATGGGAAAATAATATTTTTTGTTACATTTTCGATTTGGGCATTACAAGTAATCAAGATGATCGTTTAGATTGTGTTTTTAAACACAGCAATAATTCCTATCTCCAAATAAACACAAAAAACAGAATATTAATTTGTTTAATTTTACAATATTATTTTTAACAAATTAAATTAATTATTTACAACTAAAATGCTATTGGATAGTTAGGACAAACATACAAAATCTAAAGTAGTTGCTCGAAATGTAAATCCAATTGTTCAATACACAATTCACATCTACGAATGATCGAACGTGGTATAGCATTATTCAAATAAGGCCTTATTTCATCACATGCATTCCTGATTCTGTCTATTAGCATATCTCTTGTGGTTACGAGAGTCTGGTATACTTTTTCTTTTAGAAATCCCCACACAAAGAAATCTAATGGATGTAGGTCAGGGGATCGTCGAGGCCAGGCGACTGGTCCTCCACGGCCGATCCATCTTTCTGGATGATTTTCGTCCAGCCAGTTTCTAACTATTCTCGAATAATGAGCTGGACATCCATCAATCTGGAACCAGGCCAATCTTCTTAAATCTAACATAACATCATCCCACATATTTGCATATTTGCCTTTAAAAATTCCAAGAAGGTCCTTGAAGGCAAAAGGTAGGGTCCAAATAGTCGATTACGATAGATACCAATCCACACGTTCACACCAAATTCATGCTGAAAATTTCTTTCCCGAACTGCATGCGGATTTCCATGCGACCAAATATGTTGATTATGAAAATGTACCACTCCACGTCTAGTGAAGCATGACTCATCGGTCCATAAAACGTTACTTAAAAACTCCCTATTATTATCAGTTCTATTAAGAATCCACTGACAAAATGTGATTCTTCGTTCTCCGTCCCCTGGCTGTAGTCCTTGCACAGGTTGCAAATGGCAAGGACGTCTATGGTCATTTCTAAGAACACGGTGAACATGGCTTGCTGAAATTCCCAAGGCACCAGAAACTCTCGCGAGCGAGTTGGATGTCGTCTGCTTGGAAATCTTCGTGCGTATTCTCTGGCTGCATCTGCTGCTGTTCCATTTACAAAGCCATACACAAAATAAATATCCGGTAACTCTTGATTGGAGAATAAAAATGGCATTTTTATAAAACCTACAAAAAAAACAGGTAAAAGAAACTAAATTTCGTGCATTCACAATTGCAAAAAAACGTTTCAGGTTTGAACCGACAACAAATCTAACTGTCAACTAATTGACGTTTAACCTTATTCTGCTTTCAATTTCAAAAATATTTGCAGGAACAGTCTACTTCTAAAAATTATCGAGATACTGACTTTTTAACGTTATTTTATCATAAATAATTAAAAATGCATCGAACCTTAAAAATCGAAATATCTCAAAAACGGCTAACTATAACGAAAATTCACAAGAGAGCTTTTTTATGTTGAAAAGTGCGAAAAATCAGGTTTTTTATTCAAAAAGCAAAAAATTGCACTAAGAAAATTTTTTCGGTCATTTTAATACATTACAGGTACAGTAGATAGCGCCCTCTAGCGGCTACAGTAAAACTATGCTCATGGTTCGTTTTGTCGTACCAAAAAACCCTTGTATAGCAATTTTCACTGTTATACATCAAATATTGTTCGAAATATTTTAAAAAAACTATTTTAGAAAGTAAATTTCGGAAGCCACGCATTTTTCGACCCATGTTTATATAGACTTTAGGCATTAATTTTAAAAGTTCTTTCGAATCATAAAGTTATGCAACAATAAACTGAAACGCCCTGTATAAAACAAAACACTGCAAGCTATAGAGCAAACTATGAAGTAAATGAATACATAATTAAGTTTCCTACCACGCCTCGTCTAAGCACTCGCATCAGAGGCATATCTATCTTGATTTTTTTCAAAGGCACTCTGTTTCTACTAATACAAAGTGGCAGAAGCCACTGTGCAATTTTGATAATCAAAACTTAGCGATCGGCCCTGAATTTTAATTCAATTCATTGTACGTCTGGTAGCAGCATGTTTGAGGGATCCTCCAACAAACTCAACGTATACCTTAACAGGAACTACACACGCTTTTGAAAAGCGTTATGAGAGTAGAATTTCGAGATACGGTATTCGCATAGCGTGACAATTACGACTTGACATTTTTCGCAAAAGCCTTATGTAGTACATATTCAACCTTCAAAGTTAAAATACTCAAAGACGAATCATCACAAGTACATTTTTTAAAATTAAAAGGTCCTATCTTCAGTTACTAAAAACAATGAACTTTTAATTATAGCATTATGTTGAATCTAGGACATTTCAAATGTCAAGAACCATTAAGCTGTTTGGTCTGTAGCCCGTGAGGTCGGAATCTCCTAGGTTGACTTTTTAATTAAAATTTTGTTCTTATGCAAATTTTTATTTTGTTTTCAGGTGTCATCATAAGTTTTCCTTCCTTTCCTCATAATTTTCATCCAGCAACAAATTCATGGGCAACTAAGAAAATATATCACCGAATCTAGGACTGAAAAGTCCATTCAAATGTACAAGATTCCAATATGGCGTCCATATGAAAAAACAAAGTTGGTGATGCAAGACGAAAGAAGAAATGTCGAATTGAAAACTCGACTACGCCATCTTGTAGAGGGAATACGTTACAATGACAAGGTACAATTTATTTTGAAATCCCATCTCAAATAAATTCAGAAATTATAAAAGTGATTGAATCTGGTATCCGAAATGAACTTAGGTTTGGCAGAGTCAATGTATGACACACTATATACTTTTGAAAACAGAATTTAAATTTATATTCATGTGTGCAAAAATCAAATATGGCGTCCATAAGAAAAAATAAGTTGATGCTGATGGACAAGAGACAAAACGTCATTATGAAGCTCTATTCACGCCTTCTTGTAGAGAAGAAAAAGTGGCATGGTAATGTGCAATTTATTTTTAAATCGTTTTACAATTAAGGTCACGAAAAAATAAAACGATTTTGGGAGAATTCGTTTTTTCCGTTTTTACCCGAAGTGCTTTGAATTTCTAGGCGGCACTTTGTTGGTTACCTAAATATGCAACTATGCCACCATTGAAGCAAATTCGCAACTCCTACAGTCGCCAAGATCCCAATGGTGAGGGTCGTATTTGAATATATTCCCTAGACGCCACTATTTGTCGGATTCTTTTTCATATATCTATCTAGGCTATCTACGTGTTACTACACCGATATTTCTGAAAATGAAGAACTACCAGAAAAGGACTTATTTCTTTTTCATACGAAAGCAGCTGTCACGAAGGCAAGAACTTAAGCACCGAAGTACTGCTATTGCTAAAAAGATGAGAAATATTTGATTGATCTGATTTGCCAGGAATACAGTCTCACAATACATCCTTCCACACAAGATAGCAGATTATATATTTCCTAACCCAATAAATAGTTTATGTTTTAAATTTGAACGTAAACTTCTGTTTGATGAATGACTACCCATTAGTGTAATGTATGCATACAATTCTATTTAAATGTTTCGTGTTTTGATAATGACCATACCATGGATACTTTGGCCTAGTAAAAAATCGGTTAAAATAACTGTGATTGATTTGTATATGTCTTCTGTTCCAGTGAGGCGTGAATATAAAATAACTCATGAACTCCTTTATCGTCCAGTGATTGCTGTTTCTTTCAGATATTCAACTTTTCATACTGTTACAGACTGAAAAATACGCAAACAATTCAGGTTGTTGGAGATAGCAATAATAGGTTAAATAGAGGCAGCCTAGATGTGCACAGAATGTGCCGATTACTGGCAGAACCCAGCCACTTGACACAATACAAACAAAGCAGATGCATCCAGGGCACTCCAAATAAGCAAACCATACAGTTGATATTTATTACCTCAACATTATTTCACATTGAAGAAGTAGCGTAAATAATAATAATAGACGTCTTTATTTATCCACAATTACATTGTAGTATAGCCAAATGCACCAAAAAATTATTAATCTGAATTAAAGATGGCATAAAAAAGAAATGAATGACTACGTAAATTATATGTTCGGAGGGTTGAGTAATAATGTTTTAACTTTTTTTCGAAAGACAGGTAATGAAAATTCTTTATATACTTTAGGAAGGTCATTATAAATAATAACAACATTGTAAGAAAAACTGCGTTTAAAAAGTGTAGACGTATGCAGGGGTATTCTAATATTATTTTCTCTGAGAGTTCTACAGTGAACATCATTATTAAATGAAATTTTTTCCTTCAAGTAATAAGGTTTAGACGTGAGCAGCAATTTGTGAACAAAAACTGAATAGTGATACTTGACCATGTCATTAATTTTTAACCAGTTTAGAACTGGATATTTCGCTGATACATTATCAAATTTACGTAACCCAAAAATGAATCGTATACAATTGTTTTGAATAACTTGAATAACGTTTTTAGTGAAATTGTCTAAACAAGTATAGTATACGATATTACAATAATTTAGTATAGATATGACCGATGCTTCACATAGTTTTTTACGCAACTTAAAATTTAGTAAATACCTGTTTGCTATAAGAGTGCGCAGCCGTAGGTAGGTTTTCTGAGATAGACTTTTAACATTTTCAATAAACCTTAATTTTGTATCAAAAACAACACCAAGATCTTTGCAGAATCAGAAAATTGCAAGATTTGGTTATTTATCTGAATCTTCAAGAGCTGTGTTACATTGTATGTTTTTCTTTGTGCGCAAAATAATAACATTTTAGATTTTTGTGGATTAATAAGTAGATTGTGAGCTAAAGAGTATTTAATTAATTTATTAACATCGTTTTGTAAAATTTGAGTAGTATTATCGACATTATCTGGGTTAAAATAATGAAGCAATTGCGTATCGTCTGCAAATGACTGGACATGAGAATTATCAATACTTTTGCTTAAGTCGAACGTATATATGAGGAACAGAAGCGGCCCCAATACAGAGCCCTGAGGTACGCCTGAGGGAATTATTGTCACTTCAGACATTTCTTGATTGAGAAAAACACACTGAGTTCTTTGATGAAGGTAACTGTCGAAAAATGAAAGGGATACACTGTCAAGACCTATGTAATTTAATTTAGCAAGTAATAATTTATGATTGATGCTGTCAAAGGCTTTCGAATAGTCAATAGAGATTAAGGCTAGTGCTATTTTCTTATCTAAGGCACTTAAAATATTGTCTTGCAGATTAAGTAGGGCAGATGTTGTACTACAATTTTTTCTAAATCCGGATTGAGTGTCGGGAAGTATAAAGAATTTTTCCAGGTAAGCGGTCAATTGGAACTTTATAATTTTTTTCTAAAATTTTGGTCAAAATTGGTAATAAACTGATAGGTCTGAGATCATTATACTCAGTGGGTTTCATTTTTTTAGGAATTGGAATAATTAGAGCTTGCTTCCATGTGTTTGGAAAGTAGCCTTTTTCCAAACAGTCGTTATAGATGTGGATGATGTGATGGAGAATAACTGGCAGGCAAAGCTGGATCATTGACAGGGATATACCATCAATTCCCTTCGCGTATGGAAATTTTGTTAACCCGATGGTGTGACACTAAAAGAGAGCTAGACAGCTCGCCTGTGCGAAAGGGTTCCGAGACTGTCTGTTAAAGAAAAGTCGTCGATCAGTCGGACTGCCCTCCCCTAGATAGCATCAGGCATGGATAATGTAATCTGGGCCTTGTAGATGGTGTGCAGATAGGTCATGCGGAGGAAAGTACTTCTTATCCTCGAAACAAATTGCCTCAGATGCCGCTATTGACGGTAGGTGTTCGTGATAGATCAAGTACTCGGTGATCTGGACTCCCACTAGCCGAGATAAATAGCTCTTTGGCGGAACTCGGCCATCCATTGAAACTGGATGAGCGCTAGGATGCTGTTTATTCGTCAAGGTACAATACTGTGTCTTGGAAGAATTAAACTGTACAAGATGGTTGCGTCTCCAAACAGTGATAACCTCAAGGTCTCTTGTCAGAGAGGAAGTCGCTGCTAGTGTTCTTTTTTCCAGCTCATCGGCAGCGATCGGCTTATCACTCTGGATTACTGCTGTGATCTGCAAAGCTGTGAATTGGATTGATCGTACAAGAAATGAGATATTTGATATGTAAAGGGAATAATGTCGGAGCCAAGACCGATCCTTGGGGAACACCCGCGTTGACGTTGTACACAACAACTATCCCATCGCTATTTTCTGCACAATTTGCAGCCGGAGCTAGGTTTGTGAGAACACGGTGGCAATATTCAGAGGGCAGGATATAATATGTCCAAAAATAACATTTCAAATTAAGGTATCGATCTTTATCCATATACAAATATTCTAGTGACTTGAGCTACACCAGTGCAGTGGTTTAGAAACCGATCTGTTTTGATTCCTAAAGAAGAAGGATGGAAAATACGCTCTACGCCACTGGCTTCTTCGAAACGTCTAGGTATTGCATTTTTAATTAAGGGGAAATTTTACAGCAAGATAATTTCAAAAGTTTGACATTGACACATTGAGATGAAGGGGAGCGACTTGAGTAATGTCTAAATTGCAGTCAACAATGTTGCAAGCATTGTGGAGTGACATTGTTGCGTGACTTGAATCGATTTCCTTTTCGTCAATGTGCGTGCACCTGAAGCGTGTAATGTCACCTCCATAAAACATTATTTTAAAGTTCATTCCTATCTAATCCCCAGCCAGTACCGTCAGTGGCGTTTATGGTGGAGAGACATCTTAGAGCCCTCCCAACTAGCAAAGTAGTGGTATAAGCTTTTGGTAAAAGAACCGTTCAGCCATAAAAGCTCTGTATTGTTGCCTGAACACCAAAATGCTGGCTTAATGTTGTGTGGAATGGAAATTTGCTTTCTGCAACATTTGCTCCAAAATGAGGTGTTTAAAATATTCTTATAGCATAGTTATACAACACCTTATAGGGCAAATTTTTAACTGTTCCATAAACGTTTATACAACTATTTTATACGGCATATTTGCAAGTTAGTCAAAATGGTTGTGTTATGGCACCCATGCTAACGTTTATAAAACAAACCCGAGCCTTGTTGCCTTGCTGTGCAATTTACTACATTAGCCAACAAACTGCTCCCAACCGAAGCACTTATACAACTGTTACATATGCTAAATGTGTTGGTAAACAACTTCACCATAACCTAACTTTCTGCTGCCATATTTTTGTTAAAATATCATAACCAAAGTTTTAAGACAAACAACGCTTGCATATCGGTTCAAAAGGTTTTATCAACTGTTCAAACAGAATATATAGATCTGGTACAAATTCTGGGTAAATCATTCGACTCTGTCGGTATTTCATTTCAGACGTTTGTCAAATTGTTGTATAACACCTGCAGGCAACACGAAAATATTCTAATAACCTAAAGACAACATGGACGATGCCATGATTGTACACAACCACCCGCCATATTGGGCAAACATTTATTCCTCTATTTAATATTAAATAATTATATTTCAGTTCGAAATTATAGATATAAAGTGATAAACATTAGTGCAATTGTGTCTAAATGTAGGATTTGTGGAAGATTTAACGCAGATAAGTTCAGTTTTCCATCTTAAAAATCTAGACATACTTTTGATCATTGTCAAAATATGAATCAAATACGAAGCCCGTAGAAATTGGGTAACTAATTTGCACGATAATCACAATAAAATTTGCTGCGCAAGTAATTCGATAGCCCTATGTTATATCAAATATGTAAGTAAACAAGATGACTGTAACGTGTTAGTTATATATTCTTCACTTCGTCTATACAATACATAGGAAATAGTTTGGTTGCAATAAAGTAGAATCACGTAAGAGAATAGTTGTATAGTTGACAAAAACTTAATCTTGCACTGACGCAAATGTCCTATAGCGGCTGAAAGAGGCTTACACTTTTGTTTTATAACTGTTACCTGCAGCCCTTATACAACCTCTTAAATGACTGAAGTGTCCTATTAGGTGTGCCCATTCCGCTTGTATAGCTGTTCTAAGAGGGTTTTGCTAATGTTATTACAGTATACAATGCTGTTTAAGGAATACTGTATAATCATTCTTGCAACTCTAATAGGAGTGATAATTGTTAGTTGGGCTATGTTTACAGGATCATTTCTCAATAACCCCTTCTTCTTCAAGGGGTCATTTTCAACTTCAAAAATATTTTGATTCACAGCATTGAAGGGCGTGTGTGGAGATCTGGAAAATTTGATGATCTCCATCTACCAATTGTTTGCCAATTTGATCTTCATCCTTATCACATACGGTGAAAGATAACGACAGCTTATCTCGTATATTCAATGGAGTAGTAATAGTAATATTCATTTGTCTCCAAAATACACAACCATTACAATTAACAAATAAAATTTGAGTAGGGTGGCTTTTGTGCGCGGGTAAACGATAAACAGAAAATACTTATATACTTGCGATGACGTAACACAATAAAAGTATTCAGGTTCATCAAATAAAAGTACTATCTAATGGATATGAAGAGAAGAGTTAGTACATGATTTCGAAAGCGAAAAAGGTAATTCTTTGGAACAAAAGACACCAAATAGTGTATTCTGCTTCAAAAACAATCTTCCGATCTTATTGACTACCGAAGCACCTATTTTTCTCACGTTTCGCCCTACAGCCGCCACTGTTTATACTGCCCTACTAACAAAGACCCCGTATCTCCAAAAATTTCAAGAACTTAGATATTTGCACCAAACAAATAATCATGCTTTATGCTACATACTTACATGGAGAAAACCCCACCCCGTGTTTTAAATTTTTAAATGTTTTCTGAAGGAAAATAGTTTCACCGTATACGCCAAAAATTTCATTTACACTTAGTATGTACTCAGTTGATACGGGCTTTTATCTAAGGGAAATCGATACGCGAAGTATTTTCTAAGGAATAAAGCAGGTCCGCTATCGGCTCTGTCCAAGGTCAGGTTTTCTCTAAGCATTCTGCCTGATAAATCGTCACTTTATTGATTTGTTTCGGGATGTTTATTATAAACTGAATCCCTCCACATTTTTCATTAATACATATATCAGTTAAAAATTGTCTTAATATGTATAAAAGTGTTGTTAGTGGCAAGCATACAAATATTGTGCTTTGGTAGGTTTCCCTTTATAATAGTTATGGGTTTCCTAAATTTTATTTTTGTCTCAATTCTTTGGTGATTAGTTTGATGATAAATTAACAGAAAGTTTATCTTTTTGTGACCAAAACATATGTTGTGTGTTATGTGTTATATCTCAGTCGTTATTATTATCACTGGCGCGCTGTTTAGCGGGAAAAAGTCTAGTAGGGCCAATTTTATACATATTATTTTGCAATACTTGGTATCAGTATCCCCAAAAACATCCAATAAGAAAATATAATAATAAATAATACGATATTAAAATATATATAAAATGTTTGTCTCTTTGCGCAGATATAAATTTTTATCATAATTAAATAGTTAAAACCAAGCATAAGCCGAATTTGAATTATACGTGGTTTTAACTAATTATTCTTAGCATAATGCGTTGCTTTCATAGCCCGTATATCGCATAACTAAAAGCTGTGGCATAGTTTTGCATATTCCTTGCTTTGAAATGGTTGCTATGATATAAATTATTATGATGAATGCTCTTATTTTATTAGTCAAGTAAAAGTACAACGAAAAGAGCAAAAATCTTTAACAGCGGTTTTCCCAAAACTTGTTCAAGTGGACATACGGGGGTCTCTCTTGATAGGGCAGTATAAAAGTCTAATCATAGCAAATTACCCCGAAATAGTTGTGTCAAAACACGCCTCGGTTTTCGGCCATAACATTTTTGCTATTAGTTCGATCTTTTTACGTGTCATCTGATTTTGTATGTGTCACAAATACCTAAAAATCTTATATCAAAAGTTTTTTCGTTCCTGTCATCACTTTCGTTTAATCCCAAAAAACACGTTTTCCCATTCTTTGTTGTCAAATAAAAAGTTTTCTTACAAAAATTGGTGAACCCATTTTATGCGTCCATGTTTTAAATACCCCCTTCAACAACTTGCACCAATAAAACTAGACCTAACAATTATTAATTATTTCGCAAACCAGGGGTATTTTCGTCTAATATGATAAGATTATAACCAACAACTCTTCCTTACTTATAACACTGATTTAAAGGGAAAGGAAGCGTCTGTAGACCTCCAAATTACTTTGATCCCCCCAATCCAACGCTTGGTGCTGTATAGGGGAATTATGAAGGTGAGGTCGACCATATAACACTGAGGAAACTTCCTTTGGGGATCGTCAAGGCGTTTTGCCCACAGTAATTTACAAGACGGGATTCAAATGTTATCTCGCCAAAGTTTGTCCTTGACATGCGATTCGTAATCATTAACGAGATGTCCTCCTTCCCGGCGATATGGTCCCTTTTGGAATTGATAATCTGTGGACTTCATAGAGATTGGACTTTCATTCGTCCACCATCATAATTGCTTGTTTATTTCAGCTTCCGCAAATTCCATTCTTTTGAAAATGAGACCAAAGGAGTTAAAAGCAAAGTAAGTAAAATAAAATATGAACTATACGCTGTGTAAATGAAAGTCTCGTCTAATTAGCATACCATCCGAGGACCGATTCAACAATTATTATCTATGGAATAAATGTTTATACCATTATTTAGATATTTCCTTCATTGCTAATCTTTCACTTTTCAAGTAGGGATGAACTAAGAGGTACTAGCATTGTTTAGTCGAAATACTACTGTGATGAAAAAGTAAAATTGTCATTTAAGCTCCCGGGTATTAAGAAGGCAGGTAAGTTATTTTTCCCTAGGTTGGTAGGACTGTCTTTAACATTTGACAAGCATCTGTTTGTCAAGATATCTCCGAGTTACAAGTGTTTTTGTAAACAACCAAAAGTGTTTTTTTCGATTTACAATAGGTGATTTTGTTGAGGAAAGAACTTGCATCAAATTTTGTTTGCGAAACGAATATTCTTGTGCTGATACGCTAAGAATGTTGCGAAGTGCCTTTTGTGATCAAACTAAGGAACAAGAAGCGTTTATAAGTGGTACGAGTTCAAAGCGGGCCGAGAACGCGTTGAAGACGAACCGCGCCCTGGACGACCATCAACGACTACCGACGAGGACCATGTCCAACAAATCAAAGATTTGGCGCTTGAAAATCGTCGATTGACAATTAGAGACCTCGCTGATAGTGTTGGAATATCATTTAGCTCAGCCCAAATCATTGTGAAGGATCTTTTGTGTCTCAAACGCGTCAAGTCTCGAAGGTGCCAAAATCGCTCATTTTTTTGAAAAACGGCGTCGCGTTGATGTGTGAGAAACTTTGCTGTCTGACTATCAGGACCACTTGAAATGCATCATTACTGGAGACGAGACTTGGATTTACGCATACGACCCTAAAACCACCGAACAATCCAGCGAATATCGTGCAAAAGGTGAAGCAAGACCGAAAAGACAAAGTCAAGGTCATGTTGACAGTTTTCTTTGATTATCGTGGTGTGGTGCACTATGAATTCCTTCCGCCGGGCCAAACCGTCAACAAATAATATTATTTGAGCGTTATGCGTCGTTTGCGTGAAGCTATTCGTCTGAAACGGCCGGATGTATGAGCGAACAACTCTTGGTTCCTTCATCACGATAATGCGCCATGTCATACTGCAATGGTTCTTCGCGACTTTTTTGCCAAAAACTCGACTCATATCGTTCCGCAACCACCGTATGCGCCTGATTTAGCTCCGTGCGACGTCTGGCTAGCAAACCTAAAGGCCAATGCGGGACACCGTTTTGACACGATTGAGAAGATAACCGAATCGAAGAAGGTCTTGAAGACTATACCGCAAAAAGGACTATTCCGATTGTTTCGAAGACTGGAAAAAGCGTTGGCAAAAGTACGTTTTATCGGACGGGGATTACTTTGATGGGAATGGAATTGATTTGGAAGCATAAGTAAAGAATTTACATTTTATAAACAAGTTCACCTTACGTTTTGATCACAGTAGCACATAGACTTCCAAACAAGCGACTAATATTATGACTGTCTTTATTATGTTTATCTCTTATATTCTTATTAAGGTCAACACAGCTGCAATAGCAAATCCAAGTAATCAACGCCTTACATAATCACCTCATAACCGTTTATTCTATACATCACGTATTCATAAGCAAGTCCTATTAAGTCAAAAAACAAAAGCAGCCTGCACATTTACATGCCAAGCAATCGCATTTACGGGAATCTGCAGCACATAATGCACTTGTTGCAGAAACGGCTGCTATTAACCCAAAACAGTTCCATGCAGTCTAGTTGCCTTATTAAAAATTCAATTACATTTCTGCCATACAACTATATTACGTCCCATATATTCCCTAGGAGCATTTTCCAATCCGGTTTGACAAATAAAGCGAAAACTGGAAGAAAAATTTAATAAACGGAAGCTCATATTGGGGAAAATACTTCACATTTTTTGTTTGCTCTGTAAGATATACTAAGTGACATATAAATCCGAACACCCAGTTTCAATGGTTTTATTTTAATAAAATTTTGTATAAGTACTTAATGAAGCATAATAAGCAAATGATAAAAATTTCAAAATGATTGCACTGCTTTAAAGCTCTTTGACCGTTAATAATGTGTGGATGCACCCTGATGTGCTACGCATTCTCCAACGCGCCTAGGCATGCTTCTTATCAGGTGGTCAATGTCCTCCTGTGGTATCTCATTCCAGGCAGCCACCAACTCCTCTCGAAGTGCTTCTGGAGTCTGAGGAGGACGTTGCAAATTGAGCAATCTCCTACCCATCATATCCCACACGTGCTTAATTGGGGATAAGTCGGGAGATCTTGGTGGCCATGGTAACAATGTGACATCACTATGTTGAAAGAAGTCTATTGTGACTCTTGCAACATGTGGTCGGGCATTATCTTGTTGGAAAGTTGGATCTGCCAGGGTGTCAATATAGGGTAAAAGATGGGGTTCTAGAACTTCGTGGATATAACGCTGCGCGTTCACGTTACCTCTGATGAAGATTAAAGGTGACCTGGAACCATAAGCTATAGCACCCCAAACCATAACTCCAACAGTGTGATGAACATGTCTTTCAACAAAAAACTGTGGATTCCTCGTTTCACCACGTCGCCTTCTAACACCGGCACGACCATCGTGCATGCCTAAACAAAATCGAGATTCGTCACTAAAGACAATACTGTTCCATTCCTGATCCCAGAGTGACCGCTGTCTGCACCACTCAAGGCGATTACGTCAGTGTTCTCGAGTTAAAGGGAGGACCCATTGTGGCCGGTATGAAAACAAGCCAAAACTTCTCATTCGTCGGTAAACACTTCGCATGCCAATAGGTCTTCCGTGTTCTGCAAACCATTAATTTGCAATGTACCTGGTAGTGGAGAAACGGTCCCTTAAGGCCAATAATCTTAGACGGCGATCCTCACGGTCTGTTGTTATACGGCGGCGTCCAGTGCCCCTTGCTCTTTGCGTACGGCCTTCTCGACGCCATGCCTGACAACACCTAACCACAGTGTCTACACTTCTTTGCACTCTAACTGCAATTGCCCGAAAAGAAAGTCCAGCTTCCCGAAGTCCCACTATACGGCCCCTATCAAACTCACTAAGTTGACGAAATCGTACAGGTCTCCGTACTCTAGGCATCGTAACCGATCGTAAAGGATGTCAAGAACCAAAATCCGCCAACGTTGATTCTTTACTGCGGCTGAAATATTCATTTTTAGAGCGTTAGTGAATTAAAAAAAAAGCAGTATAAAAACCGGAATGTCCAACAGATAAGGCTGAAAATTTTTTCACTTGTTATTTACAGTAAGATAAATACATTCACCAACTTTTATTAAAACAAAACCATTTAAACTGGGTGTTCGGATTTATATGTCACTTAGTATATGTTACACTTGATACTAGACCTGTTTCTGTACGGGTTTGTGGCATCTGGAATGGCATACCACTATTTACACGATAATATCAAAACTCAACTAAAGCAGGTGGTACTATCTCGCCCTAAACCGATATCCTTTGACAATTTGTCACGTGCCAAAATCACGTAACCGTTTTTTTCCCTATTTATCACTTATCAGTAATTTGAATATCTCTTCATTGATAATAGAGTGCCCATTCGTAGACCAAACCCCTTTTCAATGATTTTCTTTTTGCAAATTTGATAGTTTATTGATTGTGTAATGTCACTCGTATTATATCTTTCTTTCTCAGCGATTCAGTATGGTATTGACGATCAGCAAAAAACTCTGCAGTTTTTCTCCGTTAGTTGGCTTCCTATAAAACATATCTTCTTCAAGGCCACTCAAGATTCCTTCCTCAAGAACGTTACGTAACTGCGTGATTCGCTTTTCTGTTTCGGTTGAGGTAGTGGTGCAGGGGTCGTTTCATCGTTTTCCGGACTCTGGGATAGTAGGGCCCAAGCTCCCATTCATGGACTAGCACCCTTTTCTTTTTATTGTGTAACTTAAGTTTAGTTATTTTTGGTGCTACGTCTTCCATTTTTTATGGGATTTTGACACTCGGCGAAACAGAAGAAAATCAGCGTCCTTTCTCCTCCAGTTAGTTGCATCGTTGCAGTTTTGCAAATTGGAAGCCATTCCCTTAAAAAAAACCAGATGTGAACAGGTTTTCTTTTTGTGTTACCACCATAATTTCTGGCGACGAGGCAAGCAGCCCCTGCCCAGTGATGTGCCACTACTGGCCACTTTTTGAGCGAGGACATCTCGGCCGCGCCTGACAAAGAAGACCTACAGATAAGTTTAGTATTTAGGCGCAAAATATCTGAAAATACTTCGGGCATATACCATGGTAGACGTTTCGCGGGGTTATCTCTAAAAATAATTTTGTCAGGTCGTATTTAAGATTTATAACATCTGTTCCCTTTTTCATTACTCGCACTCCAGCGGTGGAGCACATGTGCGTTTTTTTTTTAATCAATATATTGTGATCCAGTAATCCGTCACTGGCGCACTTATTCTCCGATTTATTGAGCTAGTGCCTAAATTTGCACGCCACTAGACAACTGTTTTGCTTGGACCAACCGTTAGATAGTATTTATCATTGTGTTTTATTAATTAACCAAAAAAGGGCGTGGCAAATTGAGTCAATGAAGAAAGCTCAAATCAAAAAATTCCAACTCTCCGTAGGTAGGCAAATAGGTACCAAACAACTGAACCCCGTTTTCTTCTGAAGCTTCATTTTGTTTTCTAAGAAATGATTTCATAGAGATTGGTGAGAAGAGCAAAAAATCAGTTTGGAATGTCAACAAGGAGGCTGGCTCATCGATACAGACCTTCTAAGAGTATGATATCGTTGGAATTCAAGAGACTTAAGTGCCCCGATTACTCTCAAGGGCAATTCCTTCGTATACCAAAATGCTGTTATCAGCTGAGGCAAGTACACTTTGCCAATAGAAAAATCATTATTTTAGATGAAAAGTGTTTCACTTTGAGTAGTTCTGAAATGAAGGGAAAAGAAATTTACAGATAAAATCCTTGTTTGGTACGCAATTTCTAACAGGGGTGTATAACCTTTTGTGGGAAAAGTGAGGGGTGAAGCTTTGAATAGTCAGAGCTATATTAATAACTGTCTTTCAAAA